AGAAAGGTGAGTACAAAACAAATGCTTCGGCCTTTAAATCGGTGAAAGTTGGCAACACTTACGGCGAGCTATACTTTGGACCCAATTTCACAACAGCGCTGATGGCGAGGGGACAGGCCGTCAATCTCGAGGTCTCGGATGAGATCATAAGACAGAGTTCTGTAACTCTTTGGGCAGATTTGACGGGTATTTGCTTTGCATAAGACTTAGACTTAGAGTGCATTCAATTGATATACAATTATCTCATTGTATGACAGAATTGAATATTTTTCAAACCCTATTGCAAGCAAACCTAGACTTTATGGTGAAAATAATGAGGGGATGGGCGATAAAAATGAATGAGACGGCACCGGGAGGACCCAACCCTAAGGCAATCTCACCGATAATCACATTCGAAACGCCAATCTATGGCTCAAAAGCGGCTAACTTTAGGAACTTCACGACTCCAGGACTTTATTAAACCAAACTTTATTAAAGCAAACATAATATGAATGATAGCATACATTAAGAGACAGTTTTATTCAAATTAGAGTAACCGATGCCCACACAAGTGGCCAACACTTTCTTGGAGCCCATTCTCAACTGGTCCTCAATGTCCTCACTGTCACCACCGCTCTGTTTGGACTCCAATTATAAGAGACAGTTTTATTCAAATTAGAGTAACCGATGCCCACACAAGTGGCCAACACTTTCTTGGAGCCCATTCTCAACTGGTCCTCAATGTCCTCACTGTCACCACCGCTCTGTTTGGACTCCAATTTGAACGTCAAGTCCACGAATGTCTTGATGTGTCTCAGCATTTGTATGGCGTATGGCGTGAGAGGACCCAACTCTGCCTTCGAGAGGTCCCTCTGCCCGAAGGCCATGAAGAGGACACACAATCCCTGTGACAGCGTATCGACAGCACCGCCTCTGAAGATGTCGTTCAGCAGCGAATGCGCCGCTTCTTTGGCGATATCCTCGGCCACGGCTTCCGTCTCTTTGCCCGAACCGGACGGATGGGACACAGCGTCGCCCGTATAGAAGACACCGGTAGTGGTCTCGGCCCACAAACACAGACCAAACCCCCGGGATTTGCCACTTTTGGCGCCTTTCAGGTGATCCGTATAGATGTAGATATCGGGGATGTATTTCAGAAGAATACCCTTCGCTTCGGTCACCATTCGGTTCGCTATCTGTGGCGACACTCTTGTGGCAAAGGCTACGCCACGGATTCGCTTCACTTTGCCGGCGCTCAGGCACTGAATCGGTCGCAGGAGTCGCCGAATGGGACACTTGAAGGTAACACATCCGCCGCCATCGGGCGGCAGACCTCTGTTCACGACATTGATCTCCAGGTCTTCGGGATCGACGAACCCGAAGAAGGGTTTCATCGCCGCCAACGCCGAGTGTTTGATGGCGTCCACCGAGGGGTCGACCCTATCGTTGGTGATTCCGGTGAGTCGTGCGTCGACCGGGTGTTTGCAGAAGGGACTCAACATCACCAGCAGTTCCAGTGAGTAGACGATACTTCGGTGAAGACCGCAGTCGTGCTCTATCTGACCGCCGTATGGGAGGCCGGGTTTGAACTGAAGTCTGGTCCCCATCTGATCCACGTATATGTCTGACCCGTTGGTCACCTTCTCCACCAGTTTTAATAAATTCATTTCCGACGGATTCAGTCCACTGTCCATGTCTTTGGACCTAATGTTTGTGATACGGATGNCGGGTTTGAACTGAAGTCTGGTCCCCATCTGATCCACGTATATGTCTGACCCGTTGGTCACCTTCTCCACCAGTTTTAATAAATTCATTTCCGACGGATTCAGTCCACTGTCCATGTCTTTGGACCTAATGTTTGTGATACGGATGGCTTTGCCGGACAGGATCGACAGCACCAGTCGCTGTCGAAGACAATTACTGCCCTCGAAGTCCAGGACAGACATGGCGTGTGGTGTCTGTGTGTGTGTGGCGTACGGGTGAGATAATTGTCTTATAGTTGGGCACCAATTGACCAAATGATGGCAAATAATAATCACATTTTTTTGGGAAACAAATTAAAAGTCCAAAAACACGAGTGTTTTCAATGTTTGCATCAAAAATGCAATGCTTTTCCCATTATATCACAAAAATTACGACAATTTGTATTGATTTTTGTTAAATTTATTGTAATTAATGGTTCATAAGAATGTGATTAATATTTGGGCAAAAGTTGTGTGTTAATTGATCAAGATTACAATTTAGTTATTTTAATGTAAACCAGCGGTTAATTAAATGTTTGATTGATTTGCCGTAAAAGTGGGCAAAACCTATGGCTCCCGTATTGGACGTCATTTGAGTTAGCCCTTTAAAGTCCACACATTTGTTATAGAGTTGCGGGTAATTCATAGTCAATGAGAAAAGTCTAGAAATAACACTAAAACTAAGTAAAACAACATTACCCAACAAAATAAACATTTAAAACTAACCAGATACAAATAAAACTAATTTTACACAAATAAAACCTATAAAAACAATGCATTAAAGGGAATGGGATCTAATATGGGACTGGGAGGGCGGTTATAACCCGGAGTCGACACTCTATAACGTGAAGCACATGTTATGTCAATGAATGCCAATCTCTAACACACTCTCAATATATTGCATCAGATTTTGCGTTCAAAACCGATATATGAGTCAAAAGTATAGCATTTTTTTCATACAATTTAGTGATTCATTTGATTTGTGGCACAAATCCACACAAAACTCTTCACTCAAAGCATTCAATTAAATCCAACAGACATTCAAAATGTTGTTTAATATAATCGGATCCCATTGTCTTCGGGCGTCTAAAGCGCAAAGCCTTCAGAAGTTGTCTTCAATTAGATATCTAAGTCATCAACGGCTCACCTCTTATAACGTGAGACACATACCACTGCCATCCCTGTCCACTCATGTCTTGCATATCCTAATCTAATCCATGTCTTAACCATTGTTTCCTCCGCGCAGACATCAATCCTCAACAGCCATCGCAATGATCACACGCAGCGCCGGTACGCCTCCGATGGCAAAGTGCAGGGAATGGTGATCGGCATCGACTTGGGGACCACCAACTCATGTGTGGCCGTAATGGAGGGAAAGACACCGAAAGTGATTGAGAACGCGGAGGGCTCGCGAACCACACCATCGGTGGTCGCCTTCACCGCCGATGGCGAACGACTGGTGGGAATGCCTGCCAAACGCCAGGCCGTGACCAACGCCGCCAACACCTTATACGCCACCAAACGACTGATCGGTCGACGCTTTGAGGACAAGGAGGTGCAGAAGGACATCAAAATCGTGAGCTATAAGATCGTGAAGTCTTCAAACGGCGACGCGTGGCTCGAAGCGCACGGAAAGATGTATAGCCCGTCACAGATCGGCGCCTTCATCCTGACGAAGATGAAGGAAACGGCCGAATCGTATCTGAATCAGTCGGTGAAGAACGCTGTGGTGACAGTTCCCGCGTATTTCAACGACAGTCAGCGCCAGGCGACCAAAGACGCCGGACAGATAGCCGGACTCAATGTCCTGCGAGTGATCAATGAGCCCACGGCTGCGGCCATCGCGTACGGTATGGACAAGACTGAGGACCGGGTGATTGCTGTGTATGACTTAGGCGGCGGTACTTTCGATATATCGATACTCGAGATACAAAAGGGTGTGTTTGAGGTGAAGTCGACGAATGGCGACACATTCCTGGGCGGCGAAGACTTTGACAACGCTTTGGTGAACTATTTGGCCAAAGAGTTCAAACGCGAACAGGGGGTCGATGTGACCAAAGACGTGATGGCAATGCAGAGACTGAAAGAGGCGGCCGAGAAGGCCAAGTGCGAGCTGTCGGCCTCCGTTCAGACCGACATAAACCTGCCGTACCTTACGATGGATGCGGGCGGACCTAAACACATGAACCTGAAGTTGAGTCGATCCAAGTTTGAGTCGTTGGTCGCCGATCTGATTAAGCGTACGATAGAGCCGTGTCGTAAAGCCATCTCCGACGCCGAGGTCCAGAAGTCGGAGATACAGGAAGTGCTGTTAGTCGGGGGTATGACTCGTATGCCTAAAGTGCAGGAAACCGTTCAGGAGATCTTCGGCCGCCAGCCCTCTAAGGCTGTGAATCCGGACGAAGCCGTGGCTGTAGGCGCTGCAGTACAGGGAGGAGTGTTGTCCGGAAACGTAACTGAGATCCTGTTGCTGGACGTGACGCCACTGTCGCTCGGAATCGAGACGTTGGGCGGCGTCTTCACGAAAACGAAGCCGTGGCTGTAGGCGCTGCAGTACAGGGAGGAGTGTTGTCCGGAAACGTAACTGAGATCCTGTTGCTGGACGTGACGCCACTGTCGCTCGGAATCGAGACGTTGGGCGGCGTCTTCACGAAACTGATTAACAGGAATACAACGATTCCGACGAAGAAGTCGCAGGTGTTCTCGACCGCAGCCGACGGACAGACTCAGGTGGAGATCAAAGTATGTCAGGGCGAGCGAGAAATGGCGGTCGACAATAAGATTTTGGGTCAGTTCTCACTCGTGGGTATACCGCCCGCCCCCCGAGGCATACCTCAGATTGAGGTGACCTTTGATATCGACGCCAATGGCATCGTTCACGTGTCGGCCAGAGATAAGGGCACCGGAAAGGAGCAGCAGATTGTGATTCAGTCGAGCGGTGGTCTCTCGAAGGACGACATCGAGAATATGATCAAAAACGCCGAGAGGTTTGCAGAGGAGGACAGAAAGAAGAAGGATGTCGTTGAAGCCGTTAATCAGGCGGAGAGCATAATACACGACACGGAGACCAAAATGGATGAATACAAGGATCAGTTGCCCGCAGAGGAGGTCACGAAACTGAAGGAGAAGATCTCGAAGACTAGAGAAGTGTTGGCCAATAAAGACAACGAGACGCCCGAGAAGCTGAAGGAGACGACCAATGATTTACAACAGGCGTCGCTTAAGCTCTTTGAGTTGGCCTATAAGAAGGTCTGTCCACTCGTGTCCACTCATATTGATTGTTGATTTTGTTGTGGTTTTTATTAATCATGTGTTTGTTGTTTGAATGAATAGATGGCCGCCGATAGGGAGTCACAGTCGTCGTCGTCCTCCTCATCGTCGAGCAGTTCCTCAACCGATGAAACCATAGATCAAACCGATAAGAAGGAAAAGGAGGATAAAAATTAGGAGTAGTTTGTAGTCGTCATTGCATTTAATTATTTTATAATTAGTTATAATACAGCCAATTATTATCACTTATATTCTCTGAAGACTAATATAAAATAAATTAAATCATATTATTTTCAAATGAACTAACTTTCCCTTTTGGACGCCTGTGTGGAACTGGAGGCTTGACTCGACGTTTAGTATTCAAAATGAGTTTATATGTAATTTTTAACCATATTTTGCTTGAAAATTATGTTTTCCTATCATTTTTTGTAGTCGTATTCACACAAACATTGTAATGATATTTTAGTTTAAAATTTATTAAATTGTTTTATAATAAAACAAACTTTCGATTCATTTACAAAACCAATTCATTGACAATGAAATTAAATTACCGGTGTCATTTAAATGGATTTATCGATTTAATGCAATGAAGTTGTGTATAAAATGTTAGCCCAAAGTATGACAATGTAATAAGGGTCATTTAAAATATTTTTAGTCGAAAAAAGGCACTACAGGTATAACTGTAACTCAAAGTAGCAACACTGTATTCAAACGATTAAGACAATAAATCATTTTCTTAACTGATTAGAAAATTTTTACAATCAAATACATGCATTGAATGCAATTGTTTTATATTTAACTGTAATTAATTTGATGACCATTTCAGATGCGAGTTCTATTCAATGGTCTCGGAATTGGCTGCAAATTAGTTCAGTTCAGACCTATTAGAAGATTACGCGAAAAGACATTCAATTTAAAAGTATCAGTGATTATACCATAGTTTACATAACTTATGAACAATTAAATTATAATTGTTTGTACCCTTTAGTAACTATATACACAATGTGTTACCTTAATTAATAGTCCTGATATAATAAGTGTCATAAAAATAATGAGCGCCAATACTTCAAAAGGTATGTCTTTTATCTTTTAATCAACGATAAGAAGAGTTAACTAATAGGTATAACTGTTATTGTGACACATACGCAACAAAACGTATTGTCACTCATTTAACCGATAATTTGTGTCCATTTATATATATTTTTGGTGTTCAATACAATTAAGAGCTATTAGTTTAAAGAATAAAAATTCCTCATTCAGTGATGTGTTATAATTTGACATCACTTTCCTATTCAACTCTTATGTGAAACATATTGGAAGTGATTACGGTGTCAGTACTTATCAAACAATACCAGTCAGTATTATCTATAAGTAATGCAAGGGTCGGATGACCGGAATAGCGGTGATTGGCATACAGTCAATACACGTCGAGATAAACGCAAAACAAGGGCTAAACGGGAAACGAAGACACTGATCATTAGGGGAGGGGTGGTTTTGGAACCCATCAATAGACTGAAGGGTGAGTTCCGGGTGTACCGAAAGGGTGACTGTCGGTATACAGCAGTCCTGTGCAGATGTGACAACAACTCCTACACCTACTATTGTAAGATACGTATTCTTCAGAGCATAGACGAACCCAACAAATACTATGTGTACAGATGGTGGGGACAGATCGGCTCAGAGGTAGTTGAAGAGGACTATGAGATGAAAAGGAATCGGAAGGAAGCCATCAATGATTTCAAGGATTGGTTTAAATACCTGACGGACATTGAGTGGGAACACAGGTTTAAATGGAAGTTATGGGAGCACAACCCTAGAATAAATGACACTGGCAAGTCTAGAATAAATGACACTGGCAAGTATTCATTTGTTGATACCGATTGCCGTGAAGCGATGCTCAAAATATTACAAGAATTACTTGTAATACCTGGGCCCAAACCTGACGATGACCCTGGTCACGCTTTTGGGGATTCCGTGATTAGACGGATATACAAGACTGATAATTTGATTGATGTTATGGACTTTGTGGTGACGATAGATGTGGCTTGCAATCCAATAGGAATTCAATCGACCGCTAACTTAAATCAAGGGTCTTATATATTGAAGAAAATACTGAATGAGTTGCATAAGGGAATAAAAAGAGATATGTCCAAGATCACACTTTGGACTCAGCAATACTATCAAACTATTCCACGCAAATCATCATATCAAAATCAACTGCTCGAGTTGAATGAAATGCACAGGGTCGATAACGAGATGGATAAATTGAAACACATAAGAGACATAACGTATACATTGACGCCGTGCGATAGCATTCTCGGTGGTCTCACACTTATAGCATACCTCCGCCACACACTAGGCGTTACTTTCTGTGAGGCCAATCCTCACGAGTATTCACTTATTACACGATATGTTGCACTAAGCGATGGTCGCGTCTACAAAGACGGCATAAAAGGCTATAGTCTTCAAGTAAATAGAGTTATTAGAATACAACCCAACAATTGGACACAAGAGTCGAGTGCTTCCATGCGATATCGACTATATTTTCACGGCACACATGACGCTAATATACCCGACATTATACAGAATGGCTTTCACCAAGAGATCAACTATTTTGGGGACTTAGCCAACAAAAGTATGCACTACACGGACAGTAACGGGTCGACCGTTCGTCTGCTGGCATGTGGTGTACGAGTCGATGGACTGTATGTATAATTGAAAACAATAATTAGATAACATATAACAAATACCTTGAACATCTTAATATAGAAAGAGCTTTAATTCGGAACTAGAGTTTAATACGTATTTACAAAACAATGGCAACAAATTATCGCACGACGCGATCGCCGTACGCCTTGACGGACGGCGGGGTACTGTAGGCACGGCCGGTATAGTCGGGGGTAACGTGGAAGTACCTAAATGCATAAAAGTGTTTAACGGGGACTGCTATCGGGTCAAGAAAGAGTATCTTAAGGATCTTGAGTACAATGAGATACTCGTTGAGAACCCAGACTATTGTTCGCCTTTATATATACTCGAGTGCACTTATATTAACAAGCTTAATATCAATGGTAGCCATGAAAGTGCATCACCTGGTTGAGGTTAAGCACCAGGGCCAATTCTAATAAATATAACAATTATAGACAATACAGTGAATTTTTACGCGGTAGGCCTATTTATTTCTGGTATTATAACTTTTTAACAAGTATAAATTCTTATTACCTTAAAGTATACCACACTAGCCTAATTCTAGTCATATATATTTTGTTATAAAAATATTCTTGAGTAAAACTCAAATTGAAACCACTGGTGATTTAAAATCGACCATTACTTATCAAGCACGTATTAATTTAGTGAAAATTTGTCAAAAAGTCTAATCAATTTATTAAGTATTATTTTCATAACACACAGTATTTAAAATGTTATAATTATTGAGTAATGTATAAATTAATTTAAGAAATATAAACTTGCTACATCTGTTTTAATTGTTTAAACAAATTTATATTTGATTATTTTATTGGTACATATAGTATATTTATTTGTCAACATAAATTGATCAATTGCCTTTTATATTTATGATAAGTTTAGTCAATGGTATTAAATTATTTTTAAAATTTTATTTAAAATATAATTATCTAGTAAATTGTAATATACATTTTGTACTCACTGGTTATTTGTTGTATAAACTTTTATACGAATTACTTTTTATATACATGAACATTCATAAATAAATGCAATTTATTTTTATAAGCCAATATAAAATTTACATGATTATTTAGTAGCCGAACACATATCATAGTGAATTACGAAAATGGTAGTTTTGATTAACAAATTGCATAAAAAATTAAATAATTAAAATAAATGGAATTTTCATCATAAATTTAAATAAAATAAATTTGATTATATATTTAATACACTATCTAAACAATAAATGTATTGATAAGTTACTACTTATAATAATTATGAATATTAAGTAATCTCAGATAAATTGTCTTTATTCTCAATATTATTAACTAATTATTGATTTTATGGATTTTAATTCTCTCTCTCTCTCTCTCTCTCTCTCTCTCTCTCTCCTTTTCTTTCTTTCTCTCAAACTCGGAGTCAAACTATTTTTATGTAATGATTATTGATTTGAAAACTATTTTTTATGTAAATCTCGAATTACCATTATACCGTACACCTAATTAATTTTCTATTTATTTATAACATTCATTATGATAATAAAGTACACTACTATTTAATATGATATTTTCAATTTATACTTATAAAGTTTTTAATGTAATAAATTAATTTGACTTTCTTTTAAAATTTTTGAGTCAATACGTGACACTCAGGATGACTGATGGGGATGCGGTGCTAATGAATGTTCGCATGAGTTGTAAACGGGGTAACCCTTTAATGATATCGTTTGGGTCGACACTCCTATGGCCACTCCTACTGTTGCCAAACGTGGTGTTGATGACGGCAGGCATTGGTGTGGGACCACCTGTTTTGGTCACTAATATGTAGTAAGTGTTGGGTGTCATGGATGAGCTGTGGGCCTGTGAGACGAGCACCACCGATGGCATGAATATAGTGGATGAGGTGTGAGGGGCTGTTAGCAGAATGGACGACATGGGCGACGGCACCGGTGCGACCACTGATGTGGGAAGGGGTGTCATCGTAGGCACGAAAGTATTGGCAACGACTATCTATTACATAGTATTCACAATTTGAGGCGACTTTGAGCTCTTAACCAAATGGTTTGAATCATTTGAATGATTGTCTCCTCTTTTCTTTTTCTTGGATTTATGTCTCTTATGTTTGGAACCATTGTATGATTCCATGACTTCTTGACTATTGTTTGATATGGCTTTATATACAAAATAAATTTATATTCAAAAGTCAATTACATATTAATATATAAGTTATCAAATATAATATCAACTTTATAGAATCAGAGTAACGTTAGGACCTATCAGAGTAAAATATTAGTGGATTTTAAAATATCAATAATATATACGAATCAATGAAAATTAGATGAATAATTGACTTTTATATAGTTAATGGTTTATTAATAAGTGTTTTCAAAAGTTATTAAAACACATCACCTTTTGAAATATAAAATTAATTACTTGTATCGATCTATTCATTAATTTGCAAATATTCAGAGATACCAGATCTATACAGTATAA